CCCAAATCCAAGACCCCCTCCCCCAGTGACCCCTCAACATCCCCTGGCCCCATTTTTGTCTCCCCAGCCCCATTTTTGGGGTCCCTGGTCCCATTTTTGGGATCCCCAGCCCCATTTTTGGGGTCCCCAGCCCCATTTTTGGGGTTCCTCACGGGGGTTTGGGGGTCCCGCAGGGCGCGCTCCAGCTCCAGCAGGGGGCGCCCCACGCCGCGGGCGCCGTCGGCGCGGCCCTCGAGGAAAAGGCGCGTCGGGATGGGCTCGTACGTGAGGGCCGGGCCGCGCTCCTGAGGGGATTTGGGAGAAATTTTGGGAATCTGGGGGATTTTGGGGTCTCTGGGATGGAGTTTGGGGTGGTCTCAGTTGGATATGGGGGGTGGTTTGTGGAGTTTGGAGCCCTCGAGGAAAAGGCGCGTCGGGATGGGCTCGTACGTGAGGGCAGAGCCGCGCTCCTGAGGAGATTTGGGGGAAATCTTGTGATTTTTGGGTCTCTAGGATGGAGTTTTGGGGTGAATCTCGGGGGTTCCCAGGGGCTCACCCTGACCAGCGCCAGCTCCAGCGCCAGCGCCAGCAGCTCCTGGGCGTTCTCAGGGGTCCCGGGGGGTCCCGGGGGGCACTCGACCGACACCACGTGGAGCTGGAGCCCCTCGGCCATGGCCTGGAACTGCTCCCGGGCCTGGGGCAGCACCCCCGAAACCTGCCCGAAAACATCCCTAAAATATCCCAAAATAGCCCCAAAACCCTCTCCCGGTCCCTCCCAGTGCTCCCAGTACCTGCGGGGGGAGCTCCCAGTGCAGCTCCTGGGGGGGCTCCGGGGCCCGGCCCTGGCCCTGCCCGAGGCAGCTCCCGGACTCGTCGTAGCCCAGGGACCGGTCCAGGGCCAGCGCGAACTGTGGGGGGCAAACTGGGGGTCCCAAAACTGGGGACCCTCCCCAATTCCCCCCTCCTCGACCCCTCCCCAATATCCCCCCATCCAAAATTTCACGCCTCATTTGTCCCTCACGTTTCCCACTCTTTTCTCCCCTCACGTTTCCCGCTCTTTTCTCCCCTCACGTTTCCCGCCCTTTTCTCCCCTCCAGATTCCCGCTCTTTTCTCCCCTTACATTCCCAAATTTTGGTTATTTTGGGGGGTACTTTTGGTTATTTTTGGAAGTATTTTTTGTGGGGTATTTTTGGAGGGATTTGGGTTAATTTTGGCTGTTTTTACTGGGTGATTTGGGGTATTTTTGGGTGTATTTCTGGGGATATTTGGGATGTAATTTTGGGTGGATCCAGGCTGATTTTGGGGTATTTTTGAGAGTATTTTCTGGGTGATTTGGGGTTAATTTTGGCTGTATTTTCTCGGTAATTTTGGGTATTTTGGGGTTCATTTTCTGGGTGATTTGGGGTATTTTTGGGTGTATTTCTGGGAATTTTTAGGGGTGTATTTTTGGGGATTTTCGAGGTGTATTTTGGGGGATTTTGGGGTGTATTTCTGTGGATTTTGGGCTGTTTCTGGGGATTTTTGGGGTGCATTCCTGGGGATTTTGGGGTGTATTTCTGGGGATTTTGGGGTGTATTTCTGGGGATTTTGGGGGTGTATTTTGGGGTGTATTCAGGCTGTTTTTGGGCTGTTTTTGGGGTACCTCCCAGAGGTGCCCGGCCACGGGGGGGTCTCCCCACGAGTGCTCCACGCTGAGCCCGACGCGCCCCGAGGGGAACACCACCAACGTCAGCGACTTGTCGAACCACCTGGGGGGGACAAAACTCCCCAAAATCCCACCCCGGGAACCCCCAAAATGCACCCAGCGCCCCCCAAAACATCTCCCACCCCCCAAAATATCCCCAAATCCCCCAAAACTCCCCAGAATCCCCCAGGACGCCCCAAAATCCACCCTGGACCCCCCCAAGCTCCCCCGGGACCCTCAAAATTTCACTCGAGCCCCCCCAAAATCCCTCCTGGGGCTCCTGGGTTGGGTTTTGGGGGTTTTGGGGTGGGGTTGGGGGATTTTGGGGAGATTTTGGGGGGTCTATGATTGGTTATGGGGGATTTGGGGTTCCCAGGGGGATTTTGGGGTGATTTGGGGGGATTTTGAGGGGATTTTGGGGGGATTTTGGGGGGTCTCTGATCAGATCTGGGTAATTTGGGTTTCCCAGGATGATTTTGGGGTGATTTTGGGGTGATTTGAGCGGATTTGGGGGGGATTTTTGGGGGTCTCTCACCGGTTCTGAGTGATTTGGGTTTCCCAGGGGGATTTTGGGGGTTCTCTGATTGGTTCTGAGTGATTTTGGTTTCCCAGGGGGATTTTGGGGTGATTTTGGGGAATTCTGGGTTTCCCAGGGTGATTTTGGGGTGATTTTGGGGGTCTTTGACTGGAGGATATTGATTTTGATTTCCCAGGGTGACTTTGGGGGATTTTGGGGTAATTTTGGGGGATTTTGCGGTAATTTTGGGGTGATTTTGGGGAATTTTGGGTTTCCCAGGGTGATTTTGGGGTGATTTTGGAGGATTTTGGGGTGATTTTGTGGGATTTTGGGGGTCTCTGACCGGTTGTGGGGGGGTCCCATCAGCAGCGCCTTGGCCTCCACGTCCAGGTCCCCGTCCCGGGGGGGGTCTCGCTCCTCAGGGGGGGGGTCCCCGTTTTTGGGGGGGTCCCCGTTTTTGGGGGGTTCCCCGTGGGGGGAGGGGTCGAAGGCGATGACGAAGGCGGCGTCCTCGAGGCCCCCCAGGGCGGCCGCGCTGGGCCCCCCCCCCGCCCGCAGCAGCGCCCGCGCCCGCGCCCAGGCGGCCCTGGGGGGCCCGGAAACCTCATCAGGGACCCAAAAACACCCCAAAAACACCCCCAAAACACCCCAAAACACCCCAAAATACCCCCAGAACACCCCAAAATACCCCCAGAATACCCCAAAATACCCCAGAATACCCCCCACACCGCCAAAATCCCTCCCAAAATGCCCCAAATCCTCCCCAAACCCCCCAAATCCCCTCAAAATCTCCCCAAATCCCTCCCAAAATCACCCAAATCCCCCCCAAATCCTCCTCAAACCCCCAAAAAATCCCCCAAATCCCCCCAAATCCCCCCCAAATCCCCTCAAAATCTCCCCAAATCCCTCCCAAAATTTCCCCCAAATCCCCCCAAATCCCCCCCAAATCCCCTCAAAATCTCCCCAAATCCCTCCCAAAATTTCCCCCAAATCCCCCCAAATCCCCCCCAAATCCCCTCAAAATCTCCCCAAATCCCTCCCAAAATTTCCCCCAAATCCCCCAAAATCCCCCCAAATTCCTCCCAGGGACCCCCAAACTCCACCTGAGACCCGCAAACCCCCCCAAATCCCCCCCAAATCTTCCCCAAACCCCCCAAAATCTCCCCATATCCCCTCCAAGCACCCGAAAATTCCCCCCAAACCCCCCCAAATCT